CATATCACAGGTAAAGGTAAGTATTTACAACTAAAAGATGTTGTATATGAATTTCTCAGTGGCTATATTTGTACGTGTTATAATTGTCTTATAGAGAAAGATATATGTAAAATAAAAATATACTAGCGCCACTCGTGGCACAGAGTGGGACTTTGCAAATGTAGCAATTTGCTAAAGACCCCGAAAAAATCAACCATCGACGATAATTAGGTCAAGCGCAAGAACAGTTTAAAGTTGATAATTTTTTATTTTTTAGAAGATTCTAATACCGGAAGTAGTCGTCAGACTTCACAAATGAAAGTACCAGCAGATAGCCAAGGTCAATGACGTTTGATCCTACAAAGGTCAAGGTCAACAAAGGTCAAGGTCAAAAATTGAAAATTTTGAATTTCCAAAACTTGTTCCTTTTTTTGAATTATGAAGCGGAAACAACCAAAATTCTAAGACCACTGGTGTAAATCAACATGCTGATGATCAGAATCCATCTGTATGTACCGCAGGTGTAAATCAACATGCTGATGATCAGAATCAATCTGTATGTACCACTGGTGTAAATCAACATGCTGATGATCAGAATCAATCTGTATGTACCGCTGGTGTAAATCAACATGCTGATGATCAGAATCAATCTGTATGTACCACTGGTGTAAATCAACAAGCTGATGAATATCAGAATCAATCTGTATGTACCGCTGGTGTAAATCAACACGCTGATGAAGATCAGAATCAATCTGAATGTACCACTGGTGTAAATCAACATGCTGATGAAGATCAGAATCAATATGTATGTACCACTGGTGTAAATCAACATGCTGATGAAGATTAGAATCCATCTGTATGTACCACTGGTGTAAATCAACAAGCTGATGAGGATTAGAATCAATCTGTATGTACCACTGGTGTAAATCAACATGCTGATGAAGATTGGAATCAATCTGTATGTACCACTGGTGTAAATCAACATGCTGATGAAGATTGGAATCAATCTGTATGTACCACTGGTGTAAATCAACAAGCTGATGAAGATCATAATGTACGTTCTGCTAGTATTTTGGAAAGAGACAACCTTGGCTATTTACCAGCTGAAAGTAATGTGAAAGAGGCAGACCAACTTCCTGTCATCAACAATCCTGAAATTTTTATTAAAAAGTACCATAAAAAGGCAAATGATGAGTTTAAGCTGGAAAGGACATACGACAGGAGACATTCTTGCAAATTCTGTGGAAAACTTATGACAAATATTCAAAGCCATTTAGAACATGCACATAAAAACTCAGAAGAAATAAAGCAAATTTTTGATATTAAGAGAATATTGGAAACAGTAAGTGAGGAAGAAAATAGTCCCCTCTTATTCAAGCTCAACCAACTTCAGACATTACTTAGAAATCAGGGTAATCATAATCATAACACCAAGGTATGTCAGCAGAAAAAAGGTGAAATTATCCTCAGCAGACGTCGTGAAAGTGAAACATTTGATCTGGCGAAATATGGGCCCTGTCCAAGATGTATGGAATGGATTATATTTGATAATCTAACCAAACACAAAAGTAATTGTCCACTTAATAAATTCTCCGAAGCAGATGACTATACTCAGGGAACAACAGTCATCCAGTCAAAAATCATGAAGGGTCAAATCTGGACTAAACCTTCTAAAAGGTTGCTGAAAGAAGTATTCCCATCCATGATGAGAGACAAAGTAACAGATGTCGCTCAAACTGATCAACTAATTGTGTCACAGCCCTTAAAGTAGGGTATGACGTATCTCGCTTGGCATCAGCAAAGTTAAGATTTAGTACAACACAAAAAGATGAAATAGGAAAAACAGAATCCTCAGAATTTTTAAAACTTATCCAAATGGAACCCACACCTCATATAAAACCTCATCAAATAGAATATCCCATTGATGGTATTATAATTAGGTCATTAGATGATATAAATCATTATTTTTCAAACCCTGACCCAGATTTACCAAAGAGCATTTCACCAATTGTTGATTGTGATGGGTTATCGTTTAATGGACATAGAATAAAATTTGAAAATTTTTACCTTTTATTCAAAATCGATAGAAAAGACTTTACATTTACAACAACAGAAGGATTAATAGATTTAATGAATGGGAGGGATCCTGGTATTGCCGATTATAAGGATTTAGTAGCATACTCAAGATTTCTAGAAGAAATTAAAAGGATAGGACGCGACACAAATAGATCGAAAGAAGTTAAACTATTTATAAAAGCAATTGAACAGCCTGAACATACGAAATTGACGAATCGGGTGATTATACTGAAGACAATCCACCAATCATACAAGAAATAGACGAATTCGAATAACGTTTTCATCCGACAACAACGAGGAACTACTTAATAGATTACGAGTAATATTAGCGGCAATGAAGGAAGGACATCGATCATACAGACAATATAATGAAGTAAATTGTATATTAAAAAGACTCCTAGAGAAAGGTATCATAAATAAAAATGATTATAAAAGCGTGATTAAAAATGTCAAATAAAGAACAACTATTCGTCATCACCTCAAATAAATCATATATTAAATTATCTCTAGATTATGAGTACGAACTCGATCGCAATCAAGAATATGAATTGGGATTAAAGTATTTCTCTATTTACAATTCCATTAGAAATATCAACGAAAAAAATAATCAAATAAAAATATCAACAGATAACGGAGTTACGTTCAAAACATACGTTTACTACCAGGAAGCTATGAATACATAGCCATTAACGAATACATATCTAAATATGGAGGAAGTGTCAATGGTAAAAACAATATTGAATTCGAAGGTAATTTGAATCTGAACAAAATAAAATTGATATTAAGAAATAATAGTCAAGTAGATTTCAACGTAGAAAATTCATTGAATACGTTACTAGGATTTGATAAACGAGTATACACCCAATCCACTTTAGCACCACACAAAGCTAATATCCAAAGGTTAAATTCGCGTTCTGCATTCTACAAAGTCTACGGTTAAAAGACTCAAATTGAAAAAAGTAAATAAGATAGGAGATAAAACACTTAAAAATACTTTCTACCTAAGAAATGACCACGTGTTTTTAAGAATTTACACAATCAGATCTGGATCCTATTTTGAACCAAATACAGCGCCATACTTTAGAGATGATATAGAGATTCTTGCACACAAGCATTGGAACTTAATGATTTGCCTCGAAATTTGGCCATTTACGCTTCTCTTGATTTCTTTCAACTAGGCCTAGTAAAGTCTTGATGTTTTCTTTACGCTGGCTGCAATAAAAAGTTGGAATGTTCTTATAAAAATACGTATGAAACTACGAAACAATGAATATTCTTTCTTATTTTCAATTTGAAATTTTGTGACTATATACTTTGTATGCGTTAAAAAATAAAATGTGAGTCTAAAAGGCTTTTGTTGTCATGGACATAATCTCCACTCACCTGTCAATCATGTAGTAGTAGTTGCCTAGTAAGATACGCCGACCTCCTTGATAAATTTTTAGTTAATCAAGGGCGCTTGTCAATCTATGTCAAATTTAACTAAAAATCTAACCTGTCAAATATTGATTTTGATGCGTTTTAGTAAGTCTAGGACAATAATTAAAAAACCCTTCATCGAAAATTATTCAAAGTCAAGGCAATAACTCATAAACCGTTGATCGAAAAATCGTCATATCGAACTTGTCCAAGATCTCATCAATATAAATGATCACACCAAATTTCATTCAAATAGGATAAAAATTATAGTATCCATCGCGCTCACAAGCCATTTTTGGACGGATGGACGGACGGACATTATAATGTGGATGTATTATCATTATTTCACTAAATGACTTATCTATATTTTTGCAAATATATAATGTAATTTCTTTTCATATTATGTTAATAAAATATTGTTTAGAAAAAACAACAATTACATTACATTATATTAGGTAAGAGTGGTTGTAACAACAACATATAATCAAAATGATTAAAACATAGGCCGAGGTGAAAATTCAGCTGCACCAGCGTGATATTTATAAATTACTGATATTAAATTAAAAATACTAATTAAATAATTCTGAAATAACAGAGTATATTAATGTGATTGAAGGTCGTCGTTTTCTGTTTCTGTAACGAACATCCTATGAACTAATACGATAAACAAAGAAAAGTAATTATTTTTTCAAAACTTTACATATGTCGGTTCATTTCTATTAGAAGAAAGAGTATCATAATTTCCACTGTTGCGGTTGTCGTTGTGATCTGTAGATGATTCTTGTGCTGGTACGTTGTTGTTGTACAAGTTACAATGACCAGTCGATGCATTATAAACTATCGTGCTTCTGTCTTTACTAGA